TTCTCTCTCAAGATCTGCCTTCTAGATTGGCAACAGGAGTCACACTCACGAACCTCAATGTCATTTTACTATAATAAAATTCTATGGATAAGAGCGATTTAATATTTGGAGGAAAAGGACGGAGAAACGCGCGTTTTTTAAAATCTTGTTCATCAAACAATAAAAGTAACAATAAATTATCATCTACTTCCAAGTTCTTCTCCGTCATTATCCTTTTATTCATATCGGCGAAATTGTTTTCAATCGAGATTTTCAACATCACACAGCGCTTTTTCAAAGCTATGCAGGATAGCATCAGAAGAGATGGATCAAAAATTTTTAGAATCAGAAGTAAGAAAGTTACTAAGAAATTGCTAAAATTACTTCTGAGTACTTTTTTTTCCAGTACAGACCGCTCTTGGCTTTGGAATTCTTCTAGGGTAATCAAACTTCTTTCGAAAAGTCGCTTCGGATAACACTTTCCTTTTAACTAATAAAACTAATACTAACTAACACTAATACTAAACTAATAAAATGACTAGTTAGACATATTGACATAACGCTTAAAGCTCTTGTAAACGGGCATTTCTGTGTTGCACTACTATCTGAATCTACAGGTGGTATGTCTGCTTCGGCGAAATTTTTTGAAATAAAACTGTTTATGATTGTGCGGATGTAATTGAATAGGGCTAAATTGCTCGCGAAAAAACTTCAACTTTTATAGGATAATAAGAGCTGAATGGCAAGTGTTCAATTCTAATCAAATTCAGTGAAAAAAGCTGAGTTTCATTTCCCGATAGAGCTGTAACTTCTAAAATGAAGGCACACTATCGGGCTGAAGTGAACAATTAAATTCGCTACTGCAATATCTCCTGCACTCTCACACTTCCCTATTATCAAACTGATGGGTAATGCGTTCGTATAGGAGCTATTCTACGACGAACGAATGTAGCCGGCGACAGCATGTCACACTCTTTAGCCTTTATGAGACATTAGATGTTAAAATAGAAGCGCTATGACAATAAAGAAAGATGTAGAGTTCTCAATACATAGAGAAGCGGATAGGACGAGGTTTGTTAATTGAAGCTTTTTAATCAGTGAAGATCGCAAAAGGATCGGGAGCATTGGTAGCCGCAATCTATATATCATAGCAAAAGATATTTATCTACTTAAACGACTCTATACCAAGCGGATAAGCATTAACGCTGCGGTGGCTGGTACATTTTTGACCACTATCTAAGGACATTGACTTGGTACTTTCCTATTGAATGGAGCGAAGCCAAACTGCTATAATGAAGATCTCGCGGTTCCGAGAATTTGTTGAGACACCGGCATAGCTTTAGCAGAAAACGTCCTATATATCGCTCAAAATACAGTGTTACGAGACGAAAATTGTGTCAGAAAGTAAATGACAATGCGTGTAGCATTATAAATATACGAACAAATTGCAGGTCGATATAAATTGAGGTGAACTCTCCCTAGCTTATCTGCTATTTCAATTTCATTCATCAGTTTTGTTATTTTATTTCCGTGATTAAAGTGAGAACGAGAACTCCTGAATTAGTCGATTCTGTATTGTTTCGGAATCAATACCTAAGACTGAACTAATTTCCCATGGTTGAATCTAATCGAAATAGAACCGATCTGAGCATCTAAACCGATCTAAACATAAAGTCGAGGATGAGTAGCCAATTAAAAACTGTACAAAAATCAGACAGAAGTAGAAATCGAAAACAGTGTTCGAATGAGCGTTTAATCATACACTTGGACCAAATTAATAAGCTTGGAAGTGTTGAATTACAAGTCAGAGATGTGTGCTCTGTAAAAGAGGCAGGTGTTCAATAAAACAGCGTACACCTAACGATGAACTCAAATGAAGTAGGCTTGAAGCGACTGCTATTTCGTGGTCCAGTGATAGCTCGCTATTGACGCGCGATAATCCAGTATACCGATGCCAACACACAGTGGTCACAAACCGGATAAAGGATAGAAGAACAAAGCGTTTGGTGCTGATCAGACCTTGAAGGACTCATCACGCATAATATGAGATGACTAAATGCATATCTGGCCTGAACAATCACATATGGTGGCCTATAGATGTGGTCGGTGCTGCTATCCTCCCAGACAGGTTTAGTGAGCTCTTGGAGCGAATCGAACTGAATAACATCTGTGTATTTCACAGCAACACCACCACTGCGTTATGTGGACCCAGTAGTCCATTACTAGCATAGAGTTAGGCTTTACATTCTGTACATATGGATTATTTTATAATTCGGATAATTTTTGGTGGCGAGAGGACATGGTGATTTGAGCAATAAAGGCGTGTAGAAGAAAAGTTTGGATCGCATTTGTCTTTGGTAATAGATTTTAAAGGCGTCAAAAACCTCAAAAAGTTTTAGTCAACATTTCTCCATTCTTGGAAGTTGCCCTATACTCCTAATTAGTGGAGAAGTAATGACATTTCGACATTTACTTCGTAGTCCTCTGGCTAGTATCGGTCACGCACTTTTCTACTCTTAACGTAACCACTGCCGAGTAACCGCAGGACCAATGCCTACTGTTGGCAGATTAATGATAAAATCAGGGCTAATTTTCAGTTAGTGAAATAATTACTTATTAACCACTTGTTTCTGTTCTAACTACGTTGATCGAGTTCTTCATCATGGTGCAAAAAATGGATTGCTCGCCATTTCCCGTAAAATTATTGAAGTAACCAAATATGGTAAAATCAGTCATTGATTATACTTAATTGAACTACTTCCATATTAGGCTCTCGCTCCACTGACGCCAACAAACCGACGTCGAATCGGTCTAATTAATCTTCCTTTGATCTTTCCAATTCATTTGCTCTTGAGAAAAGACATTCAACATGTTTTAGCGTTCATTATCGTCCTCTTTTACCTCCCTGCTTTTCCAATTAATGGACTGGAGACTAAGGAATACAAATACACAAGGCATTTCAATTAAGGAGACGGCAAGATCTTTGATAATCCCCGCATGTCTCGCTTGCGTCTGGAGAAATAAATTTTTCGATCATAGTATTCGTTTGAAATACTTGGAAAATGAACATGACAAAGCAAATGTTTAAAAATATTGCGATTTTCATCTAGAAAAAAAACCTCTCTCCCAATATGAATCGTTCATTTACAAAATTCCTTGTACACTGAGTCTTCTGCTCTAATTTATCGCTTTCAACTCTTTCCGTGAGATTTCTCAATGAATTACACGCTGCAGATCGCGATAATACATCTTATGTTAATGGTAGATCTATAAACTACCGAAGTGAAGTTCTGGTTAGAAGCCTCGTTACGATGACGATTAGAAGTGGAAGTATCTTATTTACCAGAACAATCTGTACAATCGAACTGTTAGATTGTCAAAGGAGTTGCGTAAGAACACTAACGATCATCAAAAAAAATGCTCTCACAAACAAGTGAAAAAAACCTATAAAAACAAAGCTTACGCTTCAGCATGTCGCTACGGCGAATAAATACTCAAAATTTCCGTTTAAATTATGTAGACGATTTGTCGCGCTGACAAAGCTCGTCAAGGGAATGAAGAAAGTTCAAAACCTACAGAGTTTCGGACTGTGCAGTCGGGTGTCAATGCCAGTGTTGTCATGCTTACAAAGTACTCAGTTCAAAGAGAGTTGTACTAATACAACCAGAAGTGTATAATCGAAAAGACTAAATCTGGGGTGGTGGATGTGCTTCGGTCACATCTCCTCTTTTCATCTCCTTTACGCTCTCATATGCTCTCTTTAATTCTTCGTTACAAACGAATCGCAACATATTAATTATCGTCGTCAATTCCAGTTATAGAAGTCTCTTCTCATACGCATGATGCGTAACAGTCAGCAATTGTTCAGATTCACTAGTTCATCCTATCATTAGCAGCATCATAAACAAAGCCGAAGCGCTCGCTTTACATCTGCTGATCTTCACTCTCATACACTCCCATTTTACTCCCGTAAAACATCTTCAATAGCGAGTTTGAAGAGATTCTGCTAGAATGCTCTACCACATGTAACATCCGTGACCATCGCAGCGTTCAAGGTTTAAAATCTCGAACTCTGCTCTGCAGTAGTATGCAATCGAAAGGGAAAAGTACGAAAGCACATCGAGTTTGAATAATCTAAAACTTATTATGGCTGAGAGAAAGTTGAACGAGGCCCTCAATGGTGCACGGCTTAGCGCATGACTTTCCCGAAGGAATAATCGCGAGTTCAAAGTCACCTCAGGTCCAGGCCTTTGCCCATATCTCGGCATTCTTATGGTAGTATTTGACATCGTACCATGCTTCAAAAATTTAGAAAATAACTAACAGCTAAAAAGTTGCAACAACGTAAACAATCGGAAAATAAATGGAAGAGTTAGGATTGAAAATCTTATAGAATCTTAGTTTGGACAAGCTGCTCCATGATGGTGGCTCTTGCTTAAGCGTATCTGAAGGTAACATCTAGTCTTACGATGATGAAACGGCTTACCGAAACTTTCTGTCCAAAAATTGTCTTACATTGCTAAATAGATTACAGGAATTAGATAATCGTAATGCTAAGAGCACTGACATATATATTACCTTGTGCATAAAGACGGCGACTGGCTTTGAATTAGAAAATACGAATTTATTCTGCATTGAAGCAAAGAAAATTATCAAGGTCTTGGCCGGCGATTAGACTAGAGGTGGCACACGTGTCACTCCTAAATCGTTTTTCATTTATCACCCACCTCACCAAAAATATGTAATGGTTCAGTTGGATAAGAATAGAAAGCAAAAACGGAAATAATGAACAGAAACACAAATGAATGCGGTTAAGAATCACGAAAGGTCGTTAACGAATCTGACAGGATCTTCATGGCACGAGAAGACACCCAGATCACATATCTTTATTTTTATATTTATCTCTGTGCAAAACTTTTTGCTTTCAAACGGGATCAACCCGCAGTTTACCCTATTCGGTGGCATGTGCTCTAACCCGACGATAGATGCGTTGTAGTATAGGAAGCGTGGTGGGAAAAGAGGCGTCGGGAGTGCAACGGGTTGGAGCACGTGCCCTCGGACAGGGTGGGATGCGAGTTCGAGTCCCGCCTTACGCAAAAGTTTTCCACATCATTGGGTATATCCATAACATCACACCACCGCGAAAAGTGGTTAAATAGAAATAATTCTGCTAAACAATTTGAAATTATTACACTGCGGTGTAAACTTACAGGCACCTAATATTGTAACTACAGCTTTGAAATCTGCTCGTTTGCTGGATAAATATAGGATACAAACTGGAAAACAAAAACTTTGGCCCATTTCGAGCGAAAAACTAAAAGCTGCTTATCAGTGTTTTATCTACTTTTCTTTTAAAATCGTTCCAAATCACAGGACTGTGCTAAATGGTAAGAGAGTAACATGCGCCATTCTTTCAGCTAGATATCTACTATAAAGAGAAGAATGAACGAACTTTTGAACTAGCAATTCGAATGCAATGTTTTGAAATCACTCAATTTAATAGTGAAAAGTTACTCACAAAAATGTAGAATCATTTGCTATTTCCAGTACTCTCTGCTAGTATCGTATTAGAAGTACTAGAGTAGTCTACTCGACGGTGAGTTTACATAAAGATAACAGTAGAGAAACCAAAAATCGGCAGTCAGAGTATTGATCATAACAACTGATTCTGCAGCCCTGTTAGCAATCCTTTATTTGAGAATAAGTTTTTGCAAGGAAGAAATCTTCATTATTCATAACAAATGTGACTTAGAAACTAATCACAATATTCGACGGAGGTGTTTTCCTCCTACTCTTGGACACTTTTTCTGCACTGAACATAACGATATTTGAAAAGAACAATCGTAATACATTCTCCATAGCATCGACTGTTTTCAAAATCCCGCAGTAGACATTCAATATAATTTTTAAAAATGTTAAAAGCCGAAGCGAGGTTGGTATTCCAGGGCTATACAGGGCTTAATGTGGGGCGTGGGCCACTGACGAGGAAGGCGAGACCTCCGAAACTCGTTTGTGGCTCTGGCGAGCCAATCTCGCTTAGGCTTCAAATATTCTTGAAGATTAAATCGTAAAATATTCTATTCTTTGATGACGGTTTGTCAGATGCATACAGTTACGATTATTCAAGAGTGACAACTGTACATATAGCATCC